AAAAAAAGATGTGTGTGGGGGAGGGGGTGCTGCAAGGGTGCTGGGTGTACCCCAGTAATGAAAAAAGATGTGCTACACAATACACATGCATGAACTTTATTTCAAAATATGTTAAGGGTAAGAAATCTTACTAAAAAAGTACATTATTATATGAATCCACTGTATATATAAAACTGTAGGAATGCAAAATACAGCTAATATGACAGACAGACAGCAGGTCAGTGGCTGCCTAAGGCCAGGGGCCAGCGAGAAGTGGGAGGGAGGGAAGTGCTGAGGAAGCTTCTCGAACTCACATATGTGTTCATTTGTTTGACTGTGGTGATGGTTTCCCAGGTATACATGTCAAAACTTCTTAAACCGTAGACTTCAAATATGTACAATTAACCAAAAATTATACCTCAAAGAAGTTTCTTAAAAATATAAAACATTACTTGCTTTGCATCAAAAACTTGAAAACTAAAAGTCTAAGACTGTGACGCCCATTCCAGTGGGAGCACATGCTGAAACCAAAACTGCATGCCAATTCTAAGCTGCGTATCACTCCTCAAGGCTCAAGCTGATAAGTACAACTGAAAAGAGAATTTGCAAGAATGGTGTCAGTTTCCTGAGGTTTCGCTTGGATAAGGAGACCTGTAAAGCTCACACTGACCCCTTCTGTTCTGTAGTCCCTTTCTTCTCTGTCCTTGATACAGCACTTCTGTTCACAGGAGCAGGGATTGACAAGGAGGCCAAGCAATTTAACAGGCTACTGTCTTGTCTCTCTCCTGCCTTGAACAAATGCAAAGTTTATGTTAAAAGAAACAAATTTATCCTTGTGCTGGATGCAGCCAAACGAAAAAATGTACAAAAGTTTTTGCTGTCCACAGAAGCATATGTATCAGAAAAGGGGCATCAGAGGGGAATCAGTTCATGCCAGGCAGAAGGCAGCACAGCAGCTTAGTAAACGGGCAGCAGCCCTCTTCTGTACCTCATATTCTACCCAGGCTACCAGCAAACACTTTCATCCAGCATGTGGCCCCCTAACCTAATCCTAGCATCATATCAGGAGTCAATCCCAGCATCACACCCTTAATCTCACGGTCACACTCTGTAGATTCAGCACCTCCAAAAACCTCCACTGATCACCCCCAAGGCTTTATAGGAGACATCTAGACATAAGCCATTAACACAAATTTTTAACAGCACAGCAAAACATTTGTGGCTGATCCCAAAAGCCCATTTTCTCCAAGACCTGAGAAAGAAAGCCTTACTGTGGCCCATAACTCTTGATTTCCAACCCAGTGATTTTCTAACTCAGTCATTAATTATTAAGCAACATGATATAGGGTCTGCAGGTGGTATTACAGATAAATAAATCACAGAACTTTCTTCAACCACATTGTGGGGTAACTAGCGCTGTCTTACCAGTACACCTAATAAAAGCAAGTATTGTAAAGGTTCTGAGAAAGATGAGGCATCTACCCTTTGGACCTTTGAGGATCTGCTTCAATTTTCTGCCAGTCTGGGGGAGCAGAGTTCTTCAGGGGCAGATCTTGTGAATCTGTATTTACTACATCCTTCTATAATACTCTCTAATATTTTCTCTCTTTAGATATGCTCGGTGATTTGTAGAATAATCAGACTTCTTTACTCATGATACAGCGTGTGATACCCCTCACCATGAACACTGCTGTGCGCTCTTTGTCCTCTACTGTGATGAGCCTTCCAGTCATAAAAACACGAAACTTCTTTTGTAAAGACTGAAGAGTGTTTTTTCACTGCATGTGTGTGTTCCTCTCAGGAGTTAAGTGGTAGTTATGAACTCCTGGAGGGAATTTGTTCTTGCTAAAGATAAAAAAGCGCACAAAAGCCTCTGCAGACAGATCTGTTTTCTGGAGTTTTCAGAATGAAGAGATTTACAACGACGTGGCAATGCCATATCCATCAGGGTTCTACACCAAGACATGACATAAGAGCAGCAATTGCGTCATGTCAGTACACGGGACAACAGACATTTCAAGGTTCCCCAATCCAGGCCATGCCCTTAAACTTCTTTCTCCTCCTTTCTCCATATAAATGATGCCCAGACCTCCTACAGTATTTGCTCAGATAAACCAAAGGACATTTGTTGGTAACTGGCCTGTCTCTTCGAAGAGGGCTTAATCTAAGACAGAAAACTTAAGAGGGATGGACATTTTTTAAAGTCTTTTCCATTAAATAGTTTTAAAACAGGAGTAGGTACATATTCATGACTTACCACTTTAAGGCTTTTCTTTCTAGATTTCTTTCTTTCAAGGTTGTGCCCAACCAACCCTTCTTCTTCCCCGCCCATGTAATCTCTGAACTCTGAAACCCTCCTCCAAAATTCTTAAGACACTACTAACCTTCTTTTATATCTGACAATGCCTTCTAACATTCTAACTCTTAGTTCTTGAACCTCTTTCACTTTATTTCAACCAAAAAGGAGGTAAATTTAATCAATACTTGTGTAATATAAACAGCATCCTACGTAGTCACTCTGCTAAATGAAGCCTTTTGTTGATCATAAATAGAGGTTGTTAGAAGTCTGGCATGTTCTTGTCTTAATTGAAATCTTTTTTCTGTGAAGCCCACAGTCCAATAATCTACTCCCAATACTTCTAAAAATAAAAACATAAAAAATAAACTACCAGGCCAGGCGTGGTGACACATGCCTGTAATCTCAGCACTCTGGAGGCTGAGGCGGAGAACTGTTGCAAATTTGAGACCAGCCTGGGTTACAAAGTGAGTCAAAGCCAGCCTGAATTGCATAGTGAGACCTTGTCTTAAAAAGCCAAAAATGGGGGCTGGGGATTTAGCTCAGCGGCATAAGCTCCTGCCTTGCAAGCAGGCGGTCGTGAGTTCGATCCCTGGTACCGATAAAAAACCGAAAAAGCAAAAAAAAAAAAAAAAAAAGCCAAAAATGAAGGGGCTGGGGATTTAGCTCAGCGGCATAAGCGCCTGCCTTGCAAGCAGGCAGTCGTGAGTTCGATCCCTGGTACCGATGAAAAAATGAAAAAGACAAAAAAAAAAAAAAAAAAAAGAAGGCCAAAAATGAATAAATACATAAATTTTTTTTAAAAAGTCAGGTCCCATATATTACTGTTCGATACATAACTAAATTCTTGCAAGGCTTAATAAATCTTAATAGTCAATTATCAGTTTTCTAAAAACCCAAACTCAATTAGAGAAACATACTAATTTGTTTCAAAGATAAGCATATAACTGTTTCAAAGTAAAAGGTATATGTAATATATTCAAAGTAAATCTTGAACTTACATTTACTTTTAACAATCAAAAAAGTGTTTACAATGTGGCCTTTTCTTCACACCCTACACCCTAATACGAGGGACTGAATCCAGGGCTGAGCTGCACCCCCCATCCTTTCCTATGTTGAGACAGAATCTCTCTAATCGTCCAGGTTGGCCTCAGTCTTGTGATGCTCCTGCCTCAGTCTCTGAGATTATAGGTTACAGCTGGGATTACAGGTATGCAACACCAGCCCTAGCACGTTCTCTATCATATTCCCTTTTTCTTTTTCTTTCTCTTTTTCTTTTTCTGGAGACAGGGTCTTATTACATAGTAGTTTAGGCTGGACTGGAACTCACTGCAAAGCCCAGGCTGGCTTCAAACCATTGGTGATTCTCTTGCCTTAGCCTCCAGAGCACTACAATTACAGGTATGCGCCACCGAGCTCAGGATCAATTAACATTTTGTTAGGCATCTGCTACACAGATTTTAAACTCAGGTTTCCTTCCACTTTAAGAATGATACCAAAATTTGGGAAACAGGCTGGGAATGCTGGTGCATGCTGTAATCCCAGCATCTGGAGGCTTAGGCAGGAGGATCACCATAAATTCAAGGCCAGCTTAAACTACGGTGAGATCCTGTCTCGAAAAAAGAAAGAAAAAGAAAATAAAAACAAAGAAAAAACAAGATAAGTAAAGAACCTAAGAATATTTCCTTTATTTTTTTTTCCTGACATTTCAAATATACACCCAGTAACTAAATAGGACAAGTACCCTAAAATAAAGACAGACATAGTAAGGTAAGCTACAATAGAACTGCAAAATTATTAAATAAATCTTACTCATCAACTTTTGTTAGCTGGATTCTACTAGCAAGGACTAAATAACTATATAACTGCTTTGTTTTACATTAGTCAGTTTTTTTGACAAACAGTTACCATTTTCTGTAAATACAATGTCCTCTCACTACATATGGCACTTGCTATTTTAACTGATCATTAATTAAGTGTTCTACACTCACAGGTGAGGTTTCTATTATACAAATGCATTCTAAGTTTTCATTCCCCACATGATAACTATGTGAAACACCTTCGTGTGAAGCAATACAAATGAGACAGAGAGCCTAAAAAAAATAAAATACACTGTTAAACAGGAAAATATACATACTGTTAAATGAATAATAGCAAAGATTGTAAGTTTTGGAAGTTTGAGAGCCACAGAGCTAACTTCTTGGAAGCAGGTGATCACAGACATTGAGAAGAAAAAAGAAAGAAACCCTAACTATTCCCAGCTGAGAACTGCTTATCTGAATCCCCTTCTACTCTCAGTTATATCACTGCTCTTCTAGAAAAACATAAAGCAACATTTAAAACCTTAGAGAACCGTGGAATACATTCTTCTAATACCCTTTGCAGAACAAGTTATAAAAATTCATATACTTAATAAAATTACGTGTAAGTTTAAGATCATTCATTTACGAACTGCTATTGAAATAACAGTATTTGCTTTTAACATCAAACTGAAACTATTAATGAGCAAAAAAAAAATCACAAAATAGTTTTATAAAAAGCAAATTCAATGGAAAAAATTCAGTGTATATCATTTGAAAATAAAGCTTTGTCTTGACTAACTCAAAAGGAAAATGACTTACCAAAACTGAAGAAAAGTCTGCAACAGATAAATACTTACTCTCAATTCTCTTCATATCAGGAAAACATAGGCATAAAGATTTCAAACAACAGTGTGAATGCATACCTGTTTTAGGATGTATGGAGAAGAATCCTTGTGGATTTCCACTTGTAATTTTGTACATCAGCTTGTCATTAGAGCTCGAGTCAGGATCAAACGCTTCAATCTGGACTACAGACACATCCTTTGGAGAATTTTCCATTATTTCTGGGTAATAAACAGGCTCTGAAGTCTGTGGTGCATTGTCATTGACATCTTCAACCTCTATGTAGATTTCTATAAACGATGAAAGAGGCACAACACCCTGATCGGTTGCATAGACTGTCAGCCAATAATGGGACGTCGACTCGCGGTCCAGTCGATCCGAGGTTTCTATGACACCTAGAGAGAAAGGAGAAAAACATAAAGCGGCATGTCAACAACCAAAAAATGCCACTCAGAGAAAGTGCCAACTTAAAGATAACTTATTGGGGGCTTATGCATCACTTACTAGTTGCATGACCTAAAGCAAGTTATCTAACCTCTGCGCCTCAGTTTCACTTTCTATGCAAGGAGGCAATAATGGTGTGCTCCTTATGGGTTGATTCAATGAATTAATATACTACATAATTATTACAACACATGCCACATAACACAGACTATAAAAGTATTATAGAACTAAGTGTCAATTAAGCACTTAATTGGGTACTTGTTAAAGTGCACCAAACAACATCATAAATGGATACTAAGTGATCATCTAAGGACACAAACTTCCTATTTCCAAAGATGAAAATCATGGCTGGCTGGGATATGGTGATATTCCCACAAGTCTGCCTCCAGTCCAGTGGGAGTAGGCATCCCCTACTTCCCACATGCCATTCCTTAAACCACTGTCAATCTCCAGGAAGAAGATAGGAACGACACTGTAATAGTTCAGCATACACATTCCTTTTTAAGTGGCTAAGAAAACAGAGCATGAGCTTTCAAAGTTCAGAATGATGAATTTGCTCAGGTCTCTGTGTACCAAGTTCTTCCTTTCTTTGCATTCCTTTAAGATGAAATGCAAAGACGACCAACGTGCTATAAAAATATAAATTCTGCAGCTACACTGAAAACTTCAGAAGGGCAGACCCTTCTCAAATAGTCATGTATCTCGCACCCTATACAAACCTCAATAAATTTTATCAAATAAATAAAATTCATTTTAAGTGTCTTAACTGGGGTTAGTATAAAATGTCCTCAGCTGAGAATTAAACTAGGACACATTTCTTGTTAGTCAACAAGTAAAAGATGAGTCATGATTATTAGAAAGAAGGTTACAGTATCTGCACTGTTTGGGGCCAAACACTGGAAACTATCAAAGCCTTGGACAGGGATATTAGCTCAGTGGCATAAACGGCTGCCTAGCAAGGTCCTGAGTTCAATTTCTGGTACAAGGAAGGAAGGAAGGAAGGAAGGAAGGAGTAAACTAAGCCTTAATTAAGCCCAGGTTTAAAAATCTCTCAAAATGGTTAAAAGTGGAAACAGTCACTTGTCTCAGGCAAATTCTACTTTTTTATTTAATAGTGTAATCCTGTCTTTGAGTTCTCAAAATATATCACTATATTTTTTGTCTCATGGATTAATCACTCTGAATGATAACTTTCAATGTTCAACACAATGGTTCAGGCTGAACTTTGGATATTGTCTACCTCTAGACTCGCTAGCTAGTATTTTCAATGTAAAGTTAAATACTGTAAGAAAAAGCAACAAATATCAATTTCATCTATATTCAGCAATGAATGTTTTAACTCAACCAAAAATCTGTATTTTGATTTGTTTAAATTAATGAAAATCACCTGTATTTATTGTGCACATGACACTGAAATAAGCACACGTTTATTGATCAAGTTAACTAAAACACTCATCACCTCACCTACCTTTTTTAAAGAACATGATACCAACTCTTAAGAAGTTTCAAGAATGCATTGTTACTAACTACCTTTACCATGTTTGTATGTGTGATTTTATGATCATTACTTACGTATTTGCATACCTGAGGTTAACAATAGAAGCCTTCTATTGAGTGCTAGAAAGTTAACTAAGAAGCTAAATGTGAGATGAGATATTGTAAAATGAATGTTTATGGCTACCAAAAAAAAAAAAACACTGTAGTTTCCTGCAACAGCTTTATCAGGTCTCACTGAACCTTCCAAAAGATCTTTAATACTTTTAGAAATAGAGAGCAAAAGCCTGAGAACTAAAGAACAGGAGTGAACTGATCTATCTCCGTGACTCTATCTCCGTGACAGACATCTGAAAGTGAAGTCAAATATGCTTCCCCTTTACTGCAGACTGAAGCTGTGTACAACTCATTCACTAAGCCAGTAAAATTATATTTGTTGTCTGAAAGAATGATCATTTCTAGTTTCTGTTACCCATCATTCCCCTCACCTGATGCAAGGCAAGCTGGGGATACAGGATGTTCTCTCTACAAACATTCATATAAACAAACCAAATATACTTATGCGCTTCTCATGTTCTGTCACTTTGTTTACAATACAATTAAATTCATTTTGCAAGTGAAGTATTGCTGGAAAATTTCAAGCAAACAAATACATGAAACTTTTATTCACCACTTTTTCACATTGCTATTCACTTTTTAAAAACCCTCTCTCTAACTGTGATCATATCAAAGCCATCTATTCAATGTTTGCTGTATCCAGGCATTACAGGTGTTTTCCTTACATTATCTCATTTATCTAATGTCGCTATGCATGTGGTGCTGTTACCCCCATTCCACAGAAGAACAACTCAAGAGATGACAGTTTGTCCTCACGGCCACTGTAAATGAATGGCAGAGCTGAAGTGCAGATATCTGGAATCTCTGACTTTAAAATCAGCAAAATTCTCTACCAACAGTTCTACGTTAATATGACAAAAGTAGATCAATCCAAACAACACAGTAACTCCAGAAAGACAAGGTGGACTGCGTATTTCATCTTCTCCATGTACATGTCAGTATTTAAGAAAAGTCCTGAATGTTCATTCATATGCAAAGGTCTTACCTAGTTTCAGATGAAAGGGTAAAAGAAATCTAAATGGCAAATATATTGTAAGATTTATAATAGATAAAAACAGCCATTCATTTCCCCCTCTATTCCTGCCCAAGCCTGGGGAGCCCGCATGGTGCACGGCTTCTGCCAGGAACCGCTCCTTCCACTCAACCAGGCAACCAGGGCAGCGGCCGCACACATTACAGGACCCTCAGCCACAGTAGGTAGCAGAGTTTTTAAGAGTTCCAGGGAATCTTGAGATAGTAAACGTTAAAAGTGAGGCAATAAAATAGTTCAATTAAAATATGGGAGAAACGTAGGATAGTATCAACTAGCAGTTAAAATATAAATTTTAATGAATGAGATGCCCCATGTATGGCTGTGTAGAGTTTAGAATTCCATACTGATGTAATGTACTTCCTCAATCAGAGGTTCTGCAGGATCTAAACCATTCTCTGCACGAGTCCTGGTTTCTGAGATGAATCACATACCAGAATCTAACTCAAAACAGTGTTTATTCACTAGGTCACTGCAAATCTTTGGCTTTGTCCTGTTTCTTTGACCAGTCTTCCCCAAAGTCACAACTAGCACTGATAAATTACAGATTGATTTCTTCTGTAACTTCAGCAGTTACCTTAATTCAATAAACAGAAACAAATATCCAGGTTTCCATTATGAAAACTAAGTAATACCTTTAGCCCACAAAAACAAAAATAAACTAAGATCTATAGATTTTTTTTCTGTAACAGATACTCAATATAATCTTTTTGAGTGCAGATAAACATCCATCTACAGACTTTTTAAGGGTTGCCGTTCTGTCTTCAAATAACTGCCTCTTTCTCAGCTCCCTCTTAGCCACCTTTGCCCTAGTTTTCTATTTCCTCTTTCACCTTTAGATGGCAAAGACAGTATGCAACTAGAGGACAAGCAAAGCCATAATGTCAACAGAATTCCCTTCAGGCAGGTGCAAGCAGGATCAAAGCCAGTGAGATGGCAGAAGGATACCATCACTCCTATGATAAGGTTACAGCACAAAAAAAGCAATGCCACCGACCAAGGGAAAAATCTGTGATGTATATTTTGAGTTTGTTACACACTCAACTCAGCAGTGTTATCAGGAATCATTCATTTACTTTAAGAAAGCATTATAAAAGTAATAAGTATCTGACTTTCTAACCTCAAGAATACAATGAAGGCATTTTAAAAAAAATGTTAATAAGATGAAAAATTTGAAAGAAGCTGGAATTATAGACCTAGTAAGTAATACTAGTAATTCCTAACATACTCACTAGGATTTCAAATCTACCACCAGATGTCACTATGGAAACTGATTGTAAACATGCATACAGTGAAATAACTCAGTTGAAGAGAGAATGAAAACCCAACATGCACTTTCTGAAAGAACTGGGCAAACAGAGGTAAAAACAGAGCTCAGTCACATTCCTTCCGAAAAGATTAATGTCTCCATAGTTAATTAAACCAATATTGATGCTCTTCTTTGATTTATCGCAAGCTTATCAGCTACAAAATCAGATGCTCAAATAAACTATCAAAAGATAAATTAAGGTTTCCAAGAAAAGCTAATTCTTACTTCTGACCACTGATAGCTGATGTCATTAGGAACTCAAACACTATCTTTGAATAGAAAGGCAAGCATTCCCACTAACTGACATGGGCAGAGCAAGATGCTTTCAACAACCACCACCAATAAAAAAGTTAAGGTACCCACTAAATCTGCTAAAAACAACTTAACTGAATTGTCTTTCTACCTAGAATTCCCTATTCTCTTTGTTTAACAGGCCCTGGCCCCTATCAAGCCCTAATTCTATAGCTTTCAACAGAACCTTGTCATCACGTCTTTCAGATTTTCTAAAACATTTTCCAAAATTATTTGTGAGTGGCAAATAACATAGTAGAAATGAATTTATATACTGACAACTTCTTTATGACAAACATCATGTCACACACTTTTTGGGGGGTGGGGGATGGTTTGGTTTTAAGGTACTGGGAAATAAACTCCAGGTCTTCACACTAGGATCCACCACACCCAGTCTCTTTTATTGTCAAAAGACATTAAATTGTGTGTGTGTGTGTGTATGTGTGTGGTGTGTTAGCTTTCATTACCAGAGCAAAATACTGAGATGATCATCTTCAGAAGAAAGATTTATTTTGGCTCAGTTTTGCAGGCGACAGTTCTGTTCATGACAGATGCCCCATGACTCTGGGCCTGGGGTGAGACAGTGGATCCTGTGTGACTGAGGTGGCTGCTCACCTCCTAATGGCCAGGAAGGGACAGTGAGGAAGGGTCATGCTCACTCTTAATGACCTACTGTCCTCCAGCCAGGCCCATCTCTTAGTGCTACAGCT